TCGCAATCGGCCAAGTGCGTCTGGCTGACGTGGGCGACAGGGATGACGAGGTGCAGCAGTAGGTGCCATGCCCTTCTGCACGGCTGGTGCGGTGATCTACGTGCTATGTGTTGGGTGCACGTAGAAGGAGTTTTTCTCTTTGTATTCTATCCCTCTGGGTTCTGGGTGGACCTTGTGTGTGGGTGTCGAAGAGAAAGGCCCCGCCCTCGCTTGGGCGCAGCCGATCTCGCCGTCGACGGGAAGTTTTCGACGGTTTGGTAGAAGAAGTGGGCTTCTGCAGTTCGACAGAAGTTTCGGTCGAGCAGGCTCTGCTCGACAGAATCTGGTCGACCAGCTTTGCGCGACGAGCTCTGGTCAACGATCTCTGCGCGATGAGCTCTCGTCGAAGAGCGCTGGTCGACGACCCTGGTCGAGGAACTCTGGTCGAAGCGTTCGGGTCGAGGAGCTCTGCTCGGCGAACGTTGTTCGGCCGATCGATGCCGAACTCATCGATCGAAGTTGCAGAGTTTTGCGAAACTCTGCGGAGGCGTGCAAACTTTCGCCCAGGAGATTTTGACGAAGTTCTACCTGCGGAACGGCATCACGTGGTCAACGGTGCGCACCTGGCAAAACCGACGACACGTTTTCTACCCGGCACCTGCGCAATGTGCCTGACGGTGAAACCGCCAACCTGCACCTACTTGGTAGGTGCGCACATCTGCGCAGATAGACAACCTGCGACTGCAGAACGTTACCTGCGACTGCAGATAGTCGCCTGCGACTGCAGTGCTGGCAGAACGTGCGCGGTGCAACGCTGGCAGATTACTCTGCTGCAGCGTTGGCAAGCCGCTCTTTTGCTGCGCTGGCAGATGTCCCCCTTGCTAGGTGTTGCATGCCATTCTAGTTCCTTTTGTTCTGCATGCCTCAATTGTACTATCAACTTTTCATTGCAAGTTGTTCTTTCAACTTCCTTGGTGGAAACTCTTGCAAAACTTCTCTGTAAACACAGCAAGCAGTAAGAACGTTAGTATAACGCTACGATCACTCGCACAACTCCGTGCCCTCCACCGTAGTCCACTCCCGTTGTGTAGTGACTCTCCGCAGTCCTCTCGACGATGCCGCCCGTTGGACCCGCATCCTCCCCGCGCCTCCTCCTCTTATTCCCGACTTCTCCCATGACTTTCTACGTGGACAACCCAGCCTCCAGCGCGACATCTTGTATCGGTTCTATACCCGCTCTCTTCCTTCGGGCTCTCAGTTCAACTTTGCCGCTGATCGAGGGATTTGTTCACGCTGCCCTGCTGCAACTACTGAGACTATCTCCCACATTTTTTATTCGTGCGGGGTGGCCCCTGCCGTAATTTCGGCCCTCTCCTCCGTCGCCCATCGCCACCTCCACTGTTCTCCTCCTCCTGAGCTCTTGCTTTTCCCGCTCACCTCGAGAGCAGGCAAGGTGCCCCCCTGGAGCCTTTTGGTGGGTGCCTCCGCAAAGGCAATCTGGAATGCGCGCTGTGACCACAAATACAACGACTCCTCATCTTCTAGTTTCGAGATCCTCCAGTTCATCCTGGCACAGTTCCTCCTTGCTTTCAAATTATTCCTTTGGCGGAGGAAGCGACAATCTGTGAAGAAAGAGCAACGCTCGGCCTCTCGCATTACGTTGACCACCCGACTGCGTTTCCCCATCTTTGATCCCGACGGACACCCTTCTATTCACCCGGACCTCCGCTCCTCCTGGCTACTCGGAGACCCCTTTCGCCCCCCCTAGGTCGTTCTCCTTTTTTAGCATAGAGCACTCCCCAGTTTTGCTGGCGGTTATCTTGCGGATATGGGAATAACGTGTTTCTTACGTACGCCTTCGGGTTGTTGGTTGTGTAGACCATATTTCCAGCTGCTCTATGCTTTGCTGTACATGGTTACGACCTTAATACAACCTTAAAGCGACGGTGCACATTTGCCACCCAAAACCCAGAACCCTGGCGAACTGTTACTGCGGATGGAAAGTGTCCGCACGAAATCCTGGTTTTCGCCAGCCAGCACTTTCGCGCTGGCAAGCCTGGTTCAAAAAAAAAAACTTCTGAACCCAACACTGCCAAAAGTTGCCCGTCGCTTTAACCTGTGGTTGGATGGCCTAATCCACGTCATAATTGCGGGAGGCGATCGGGGGAATCACTTCCAGACACTCGTTGAGATCTCATTTATTGGAGAAATAACTCGCTACTGATTGTCGTCCCATGCAATCGTCAGCTTCAGGCAACTGCTGCACGGCACCAGCGTTCCCTTGTGCACGCCACGTAGGCTTGGTCACAGCTGCGGCCCGCTGACGACGGATCGCAGAGGTGCTGACGTAGCGCGATTGTTGGAGCAGGTGAGCGTTGTCATCGAGTCGCACCTTATCCGGTCCATTTCCGTTTCCCACAACAGAGCCAATCCACGTACCGCAATTGTTCGTGTGACCTGTGAATTGCGGTCGAGGTGGTTGTCACGTCAGGGAGAGTTTGTGGTGAGGCGAATCGGAGCGCGTGTACACCTGGGACTTGGCGAGGAAATTTATCACCCCAAACGAAACGACGAGCCACACAAGCACACACCACGCACCACACACCACAGACCACACAGCAACACACCACACCATCCATTAAGAACCAAGCATAGAGGACAAGGAAAGCAGCGAATGCTGCTGAGCCGCGCGCACCACCCAGTCCGAGAACGAGGGCAGCTCCTCTGGACTTCGAGCATCCACTAACGGAAACCTACCACTGGACTGGACAGAGACATAACGCTAGTATAAAATGCGGATATTCATTTCCTCATTTCAGTCACGTGGTTTGTTGAGATATTCTGCCTGATTGCTTGCTCTCTATCACTCGCACCTATTGATTGCACAAGCTTCATCTACCATCCTTGCAACCCTGATCGAAACGTCGAAACGTCAAGTTTTAGCCCAAGACCTTGGAAGACTGCTTTCCTCTTTGTGGATCGTCTTTTTGAACCCCCTACTGTCGTTACTCCCTTCCATCACAACTGGAAGCCATGGCTGCTGCAGCGCTTGCTCGTTTTCCCACCCTGACACCCGTGAATTCCATCAGCCTGAAACCGTCGCAACACGCGAGAAGCAAACAACGAACCGTAGCTCCCCAATTCTGGCTCTCCAAGCCGTCTCGGCCTTCACCAGTCCGATGCGAGGCACCACCCACCATGACCGAACGGGAGCAGAACCGCCAACTGAAAGTCGCGCCGTCGTCCCTCGAATACAACGACCGGATGAAACGACAGATGGCGAATCCGTACGAGTACCACCACGAGCTCGGAATTTACTACACCCGCGTGCACCCTAAGATCATCGTCGGCTCGCAGCCGCAAACACCGGACGACATAGACCGTTTGCAGCGTGACGAGGGCGTGCAGGTGATTCTTAATCTCCAGCAAGACCATGACATGGCGTACTGGAGCGTGGACATTGGATCCATCATCAAACGGTGCAGGGAGCGCCACGTGGAGCATCACCGCCGGCCTGCCGTTGATTTCGATCCCAATTCGCTCCGCCATGAGCTTCCCAGGATGGTTGCTGTGATCGCAAAGGCCGTCGCGGAAGGGAAAACCGTCTACGTGCACTGTACCGCGGGCCTCGGCCGGTCTCCGGCAGCTGTGATAGCGTATCTGTTCTGGTTCGCCGAGCCGCGCGTGGACTTGAACGGCGCATACGACCACGTTACATCTCTCCGCCCGTGCGGTCCCAAGAAGGACGCCATTCGCGGCGCAACGTACGACTTGGCGAAGAACAGCCCTTACCAGCCGCAGTTCGAGCACCTTCCGGATTTCGCGTTCACTGACGTGGCACAGTGGGAGAGAGATCTCATCCGCCAGCGCGTGTGGTCTCTAGCTTAAGCGGAAAGTTGCGGTTGCGACTCCGCAGAGGCTGCTGAGTGGTCGGCCCAGTCTCGTTTGTACATCGTTTGTACATTCACGGCAACGCAGAAGGACAGAAGTCATTTTTTTTATCACCCTGCGGTGGGTGGTTCTAGAGTCCTAACGGCAGCACAGGATGTCCTTAATTCTTGGGGAATTAGCATGAGAGGGTCTGGCCTCACGGGATTTTGCCGCCACGACTACTGTGGCTGGCAGGCTACGGGGTCTCCCAGTACTAGTTTCTGACATACACTGATATTTGTATAGTCACCAATTCATTCATTCATTCATTGATTTTGATCGTGCCCTCATTTTCCATTTCATCAACAGCCAGTAATGACCTTCATAAGAACGCACGGTGTCAAACATGCCCTTGGCTTGAGAACAAGTATTTTCCGACTACCTTGTGCTTCAATACGCCACTATGAAAAGCGGCTCGCGTCGAAAAAAATCACGGCCTCGTTCCCCACAACGCGAGCATAGTGAGGCTTGCCAGCGGGAACCTCGATGCAATCACCCGCCTCTAAAATCACATCTGTGCCGTCCATGCGGAATAAGAAGCGGCCCGAGAGGATGCTGTCTTTCTTGTGCACGCCGTGCGTGTGCTCCGGGAACTCCGTGCCAGGCGAGAAGACATAGCGGATAACGCTGTAACCCTCTGCCTGGAGCCGCTCCTTCATAGTACGCTCTGAGAGTTTCCCGTACATTGCGGCGTCCCATTTCTCGGGCCGAACTGCACACACTACTGTACGTCTTGGAACAGCCGAGGCTGGGCCGAAGTGTTTGAGTGTACGGGAGAGACGAATTGTCCCGTGCGGGATTCTCAAGGCCGAAACCATGGCGGAAATGTGAGCTTGTGGGGGATGCGGGAATAGAGTGCAGGTTGAGGAAATGTAGGTGTTTGTTTGTCGCAGGCGAGGTTCGAGTAGGCATGCGAAGGGGAATGTGGCATTTCGATATGAACGGTCCCACCGCTACAGAAAAAGTTCGGTAAAGGATTTGATGAAACGCCACATTTCCATAAACCTGTTATTTGGATAAGGCATACAAATACATCATGCTTTCCAGCAAGTCTGAGCCAAAACATCAATTCACATGAATTGTACTTCTGATCACCCGGTGATCATGGTGCCAGCACCCTCATCTGTAAGCACCTCGAGCAGCAGCGAGTGTGGCTTGCGACCGTCAATAATGGCGGTGGAATGCACGCCCTGGGCGAGAGACCTGATGCAGCACTCCACCTTGGGAATCATGCCACCCTTAACAATGCCATCTGCTATCAGCTTGCGAATGCCCTTGATGTCCACCTCCTTCACGAGACTGCTTAGAGCATGAAGAATTAGAGGGTGATGGTTTACATTAGGGGTAAACAAAAACATCAGAGGGTAATAGATCAGGAGAGAGGTGTGAATAAAGGGTGCGGATTCATGAGTGAGATCGGGACAACAGATGTGATATGTGATCTTGTGATGTGCAATGTCACCTGTCACCGCCCGTGACCCAAGAATACTTCAGTCCCCAGAATGCCGCAAAGCACAGCAATGCTTGATTCTGGATGAATCAAGTGCATTCAGCAGATAGACCAAGTGCCTAGTCGCGAGCAAACGCGTGAGCGAACTTCTTCACACATTCCTGCTCCCAGCAGTTACAATACTGCCATCTCTCAAATTCCTTACCCAAGAATCGCCGCCAACAAACCTGAAACTCTTCAAAATTCGATTTCCCCAAATTTCACCACGTGGCTTCGTCTGCTGTGCGTCAACTCTCAGTGACATTCCCATCCTTGCGTGTCATTTCCCGACAAATCCGCTGTGAATTCTGTCAATTGTTACGCCTCACCTCGCATGGTGTCACTCACCTGTCCGAGACCTTCGGGTCGATCATCATTCCCCGGCACGTCCGTCATCAATATAAGCTTTTCCGCTCCCAGCGACGCCGCGATTTCCTTGTGAGTCGACTCAAACGCAGTCGCATGTGGTCTCACCTGTCAGTGTCCTTCGGATCAATCATGACACCCGGCACGTCCGTCATCAGAATGAGCTTTTCCGCTCCCAGCGACGCCGCAATCTCCCCTGCCGCCGTGTCCGCGTTCACGTTATACGCCTGCCCCTCCGAATCCGCCGCCACCGTTGCAATAACGGGGATGATCCCGTCGCGAACCAGCCCTTTGACGACAGTGGTATCCACATTCGAGATGTCGCCGACGAATCCCAGATCTTCGCTAGCCTGTCGCGCGGTGATCATGCGACCATCCTTTCCGCACATTCCCACAGCAGTGCCACCGGCGCGATTGATAAGCGACACAAGCGACTTATTCACCTTCCCTACAAGCACCATCTCGACCACCTCCATAGTAGGCCCATCAGTCACACGCAGACCGTTCTTAAAATTCGGCTCAATGCCTATCCGCGTCAGCCACGTGTTAATCTCCGGTCCGCCTCCGTGAACCAGCACGGGCCGCAAGCCGACGCATGATAGAAGCACGAGGTCCTTAATCACACCCTCTTTAAGCGTCGGGTCCTTCATAGCCGCGCCGCCATACTTCACGACGACGGTCTTGCGTTGAAACCGTTGGATGAAGGGTAGCGCTTCGGAAAGAATGTCGACGCGATCGAGGGCGGAAAACTCTTGCGCGAGTGCAGATCGGACGGTCGTGGTGCGCTTGGCGGATCGCGAGCTGCGAGTTCTGGTAGAACGCGCGGTAGCTGGGATCAGGGAGCGGTTTGAAGGGACGAAGGAGCTGTGAGATGAAAGATTTCCAACGGCTGACGTGGACGCTGATTCGCGAAGGAAGGAGGTGGAACCTGCAGCAGAAGCCTGCAATGCTGCTGATGCCGCCGCCATTGTAACGCGCACACCCAAAATTCCTGAAGTTGGTTATACGCAGGATGTGAAAACGCGACAAGCTTAGCGGAAAAGTAACTCTAGGAAGACCTGAAATGGTCGGCCATAAACTCTCCAACCCTGAAGAAACGAATGTTGTCCTGCTCTTGTATGTGCTAACGGGTGGGTGATTCGAGCTATGCACAAACACTGCGTGCCTGCCCAACACCCCTCCTTGCCACGGCTTTGATGATTCAGAAAGGATATAGTGCATCTCGCAACGGTGCGGAGCGGTTCACCGGGTTCTTGTCGGCCCGGCAACTTTGAACCCCGGTGCACCGCTCCACACTGGTGCGCACCAACACGAGCTGCAACACGTCCTCAGGAATCTCATTCCACGTGTGACAGCAAACATCTGCTCTCCTCGCGACTCGATTCGTGGACTCTATCTGCGCTGCTCCAAGGTGTGCACGTGGCTATTCGAGCCGCAGTGGGTGCGTCATTTGCTCGTCATCACGGCGGGTACTTCTTTCCGATTTGTCAAGCACTCTAACATTGAATTGCCACGGCGGACAAGCTGTCCAATCAAGTGTGCGTAGAGATGTACTCAGCAAAGGGCCCATCGATAGCGGACAGAAGTCGCAGCAAGCGAGTCCCACGTTGTGAAGTGCACTTCCATTTCAAAATTCCACTATTGTAACATAAACAGTAGTAAATACATGCGTGTACAGCTTCTAAATGCTCGTGCATTTGCAGCAGCAGTCCTATTTTCTGCCAACAGACAGAAGCTTATCAATGGATCCGTCCTTGTTATAACGAGCAACCACCTCTTTAGCATACTTGGGGATATGCTGCTCCGCTCTGTTAGATTGATTCAAACAAAACAAAAGGCAACACTAAGAAACCAAGTGAAACGGCCAAAGCGGTTGCACCACCTTGAAACCAAAAAACAGATAAGAGAGGGTGGTGGGAGGAGATGGGGTAGGACAACAAGGGAGACAGGAGGAGGGTTGATAAGGGAAGGGCATGCGTGCATCGAACAAAAGTCACTGACCTTTCGTTTCCCCAAACGCGGTGCACGTGCAAATAATTGCGGATGGTGTGATAGTCGAGTGAGTAGCGTGCAAACTCCAGCCCCTTCGGGCCCACCTGAGTGGGATGCATGGGGAGAGAGACACACGGGACAGAATCAGGGGGTGGGTGAGGGGAAGAGGGACAGAGTCGAGTGAGTAGCGTGCAAACTCCAAACCCTTGGGGCCCACCTGAGTGGGATGCACGGAAGGAGCAATACGGGAGGGGAAACACACAGGTGTGGCACGCAGAAAGGGATAGAGGGAGGAAGAGCGGGAACGGGATAGCGGAGTGAGTGGTATGCAAACTCTAGTCCCTCAGGGTCCGCCTGAGTGGGAGGACAGGGGCCAGACACAAGGGTGAAAAAAGATGCATAAAGATTAATGATGCGGAAAGCTTAAACAAGAAGCACCCACCAGAGGTTGTGACCCACCAGGTCAAGCATAAGGCGTTGAGTCCAAGGTTCTTGAGATGAGAAATTTCTAGGCTCCTCACATGCAGGGTGCCTTTTGAGTCGACTCAAAGTCACCTAGGCTGATGAATCTGGAAGCGGAGGTGGGGGAGGGAGGGGGCTGAGACCCACCAGCAGGTCAAGCAGGGCAAAGGCTTACAAGGTCAAGCAGGAAGGTGATAATGTGGCCGATGAGTCTGGGAGCAGGGTTGAGCGTCTCTGTGCCCACCAGGTGATCAAATCCCAATCAGGCTAGGGTGATATGCTGGTATGTTGCACAGGAAGCACCCACCAGGTCAAGCAGGAAGGCGATAATGTGGCCGACAAGTCTGGGAGCAGGGTTGAGCCTCTCCGTGCCCACCGTCGCCTTGTCGTCTGCTTTCACCGTCTCCATCACAAACGGGCGGCGATCACCCTGCCGGTGGGCGGCAAGGGGATATCAATGTTTGCGCGTGGTGGGATAGGAAGGGGGGAGGATGGAAGTGGGGAGATGGGGGCGGGAGAAAGGGGAATAACGGGGAATAAGAGGAATAAAGGGAGAAACGCGTAGTGAAACTCCCAGATCCCACCGTCGCCTAGTCATCTGCTTTCACCGTCTCTATCAGAAACGGGCGACGATCTCCCTGCTGGTGACATGTGGTGGACAGGAGAGGAGAGGAGAGCAGAGAGCGGAGAGAGGAGGAGATCGGGAGGAGGGAGGAGGAAAGATGAGGGAAGAGGAAAGGGAAACAGCGGCGAAAGGCAGGAGAGGCGAACAGCGGCGAAAAGGTCAGAGAGTGAAGTAGGAAGGGTGAGGGACAGACCATGGCAACAATGAATGACATTGCCAAATGTACAGCGAATATCGAGAACAGCAATGCCACCAGCCAACATCAATGCATTACCGAGGAGAGAGTTGGCGTGACTTGCAGCTGTGGGCGAATCAACTCTAGCATCTCCGCCCCCCTCTCGTTCCTGCAGCGTGGCCCGCGCAAATGGGGAGGGAGAATGGTTTCATTGTTAAGATCCGTGTCCGTATCATTGCTGGTATCGTAATTGGCATATATATATATATATATATATATATATATATATACAAGTGGTAGGAGGGAAAAACAAAGAAGGGAACAGGGAAAGTACAGAAGCGAGAGAAAAGGAGGTCAGCACGGAGTGGGCGGGCATGGTGGTAAGAAATGGGGTGCACCTGACTGTGATGTACTGCAGATGGTCCGTCATGGGGACTCCTTGCTGCTTGGGCACTCCCATGTACCCCACCACCATGTCCTGTGCGTGAGGGGATGGGGAGGGGGGAAGATGGGCGAACTGGTGAGAGGCGAGGCGAGGCTTGAGTCGCAGATGGTCGGTCATGGGGACGCGTTGCTGCTTGGGCACTCCCATGTACCCCACCACCATGTCCTGTGCGTGAGGGGATGGGGAGGGGGGAAGATGGGCGAAATGGTGAGAGGCGAGGCGAGGCTTGAGTCGCAGATGGTCGGTCATGGGGACGCGTTGCTGCTTGGGCACTCCCATGTACCCCACCCCCATGTCCTGCGTGCAGGGAGATGGGGGGGATTGGAGAGAGAAGAGATGGAGAGAGAGAGGAGATGATGGGGCTTTGAGTCGCGTCATAAGGCACTCCCATGTGCCCCACCACCATGTCCTGAGTGCAGGGAGGGGGAGGGGAGAGGATGGGCGAAATGGCGAGAGGCGAGGCTTTGAGTTGCAGATGATCGGTCATGGCGACCCCTTGCTGCTTGGGCACCCCCATGTACCCCACCCCCATGTCCTGCGTGCAGGGAGAGGGAGGGGAGAGGAGAGATGAGAGGTGTGATGAGCTTTTAAGGCCACTCCCATGCACCCCACCCCCATGTCATGTGCTCATGTGATGTGTGCGATGGGATGGGATGGTGATGGTGGTGAGGACGACGGGTGTGATGTCTGTGATGGATGTGAAGATGAAGAGAGGTCGGCACGGCACTAGGCATACTTCAGTGTATGGGAACTGGCGGGAAAGACGGTTCACGGCAAGGGAAGAGGCGGACTTGCGGCAAGGGAAAAGAGACTTACGACAAGGCCATTGGTGTAGTCAAAGCAGCTGGCACATGCGGATTCAGGGAGACATGGGAGGAGGAGCAGGGGACGAGAGGGTTCAGTGCAATGGAAAGGGAACAGGTGCTTTTGTGCAAGGGAAGAGTAGGACTTACGGCGAGGCCATTGGTGTAGTCAAAGCAGCTGGCGCATGCACATCCAGGAAGGCATGGAAGGAGGAGCAGGGGGGGAGAGGGAAAGAAGGAAGGAGAACGATGGGGATGAGGCACAGGAAACAGAAGTCACATCACCATGGGAAAGGCTAACATGCACACATGTAGGGTGTTTTTGAGAATCCCCAAAAAGACCCTACATCATCAAGGAGTCAGATCACCATGGCAAAGGCTTACATGCACACATGGCAAAAGTACCATGGCATGATGAACACAAACGAGTGATGTGACCACAGAAATCACATTATATGTGAAAGGACAATATTTCTGAAATGATTGGGGTTAACGTTAGGTGGTGTTAGGTGTGATACGACGGGTGATCCCATTACATGTGATGGCACTAGATCAATGAGGGTGTATTTTCGAGAAGTCTCAAAAGTGACTCCCATTGGATTAACCAGAGTACACTCACCTGTAGCAGGAGGGGGCAATGACGTCTTTAAGGTCCGATGCTGGCAGGCAGAAATACGGCACCTGAGGTTGGGAGGTGGGTGGGAGATAAGAGATGGGAGATGGAAGATCGGAGCAAGAGGCAAGGAAGAAAGAACAAGGAGGAATAAGGATCAACGGCAGGAAGAGCAAGCAGCTGAGGGTCTCAGCCTGACGCAGGAAACCGTTACTTGAGGAATAAACAGTTGCAGAACGAGAATAAAAAAAACCAGAGGCGTGGGAGTGAGAGGCAGAGGCATGGAAACAAGAGGCACTCGTGTGCTCATCAAAAGGACCATCTGGCAGGTATAGGAGGCCGTTTCTGAGGCGCCTCAAAAACGACCTCAAGAGGCGCTCGTGTGGTCATCGAACGGACCATCCGGCAGGTATGGGAGGCATGGGGGTGGGAACACACCTCTTCCATTCGGCCGTCCAGATGCTTTATGTGCACCTGGCGGGGTGGGGGGATGGGAGGGCAGCATGGGGGGATGGGAGAGAGGCATGGGGGGGATGAGGGGGGTACATGAATGATAAACTGCTGCTGGACTGGAGCACAATACAATCCTGGATGAACTCGTGGTGCAGAACTGTACTGAAATGAATAATACAGGACTTATAAACTAGAATAAACGATTGTAATATAGCACTGTAGCATATTAAGTCCTGCATGAACTCGTAGTGCAACGAATTAATAATGAGATGGGGAAAATTATGTTTTCAATACAGTACTGTAGCACACCTTATAGTCGGTAGTGTAATGTGTAGTGTAGTGTAGCACACCTTATAGTCCTGCATGAACTCGTAGTGCAGCACTGTCTCGGGATCGTCACTTGCAGCGTTCAGGAACTTCTCCAGGCCCTTGCGCGGACCGTTGTCCACTGCGGTGGAGGGGGGTGGTGTGGGATGGTGCACGGTGGTGTGCGGTGGGCGAAACAAGGGGGTCGGGATGGTGAGACAGCATCAGGGCATGAAAACCCAAGAGAGATGGAGGAAAGCGGCGGCAAGACAGAGGTGACAGAGAGGATCGAGAAGGGAAGAAAAACGGTAGAAGGGGGGGAAAGGGGAGAAAAGGGGGAGGAAAAAGGGAGGAAAAGGGGAGGAAAGACGGAGGAAAAGGGGAGCGGTGCAGCGTATGAGCGAGTGGTGCAGCGTATGAGCGGGCGGTGCAGAGTATGAGCGGGCGGTGCAGCGTATGAGCGGGCGGTGCAGCGTATGAGCGGGCGGTGGAGCATATGAGCGGGCGGTGCAGCGTATGAGCGGGCTGTGCAGCGTATGAGCGGGCGGTGCAGCGTATGAGCGGGCGGTGCAGCGTATGAGCGGGCGGTGCAGCGTATGAGAAGGCGGTGCAGCGTATGAGCGGGCGGTGCAGCGTATGAGCGCGCGGTGCAGCGTATTAGCGGGCGGTGTAGCATATGCGCGGGCGGTGCAGCGTATGAGCGCGCGGTGCAGCGTATGAGCGGGCTGTGCAGTGTAGTACCGGGCGGTGCAGCGTATGAGCGCGCGGTGCAGCGTATGAGCGGGCGGTGCAGCGTAAGAGCGTGCGGTACAGCGTATGAGCGGGCGGTCCAGCGTATGAGCGGGCAGTGCAGCGTATGAGCGGGCGGTGCAGCGTATGAGCGGGCGGTGCAGCATATGAGCGGGCGGTGCAGCGTATGAGCGGGCGGTGCAGCGTATGAGCGGGCGGTGCAGCGTATTAGCGGGCGGTGCAGCGTATGAGCGGGCGGTGCAGCGTATGAGCGGGCGGTGCAGCGTATGAGCGGGCGGTGCAGCGTATGAGCGGGCGGTGCAGCGTATGAGCGGGCGGTGCAGCGTATGAGCGGGCGGTGCAGCGTATGCGGTGCAGCGTATGAGCGTGCGGTGCAGCGTATGAGCGTGCGGTGCAGCGTATGAGCGTGCGGTGCAGCGTATGAGCGTGCGGTGCAGCGTATGAGCGTGCGGTGCAGCGTATGAGCGTGCGGTGCAGCGTATGAGCGTGCGGTGCAGCGTATGAGCGTGCGGTGCAGCGTATGAGCGTGCGGTGCAGCGTGAGCGTGCGGTGCAGCGTATGAGCGTGCGGTGCAGCGTATGAGCGTGCGGTGCAGCGTATGAGCGTGCGGTGCAGCGTATGAGCGTGCGGTGCAGCGTATGAGCGTGCGGTGCAGCGTATGAACGTGCGGTGCAGCGTATGAACGGGCGGTGCAGCGTATGAGCGGGCGGTGGAACGTATGAGCGGGCGGTGCAGCGTATGAACGGGCGGTGCAGCGTATGAGCGGGCGGTGCAGCGTATGAGCGGGCGGTGCAGCGTATGAGCGCGCGGTGCAGCGTATGAGCGCGCGGTGCAGCGTATGAACGGGCGGTGCAGCGTATGAACGAGCGGTGCAGCGTATGAACGTGCGGTGCAGCGTATGAACGTGCGGTGCAGCGTATGAACGTGCGGTGCAGCGTATGAACGTGCGGTGCAGCGTATGAACGTGCGGTGCAGCGTATGAACGTGCGGTGCAGCGTATGAACGTGCGGTGCAGCGTATGAACGTGCGGTGCAGCGTATGAACGTGCGGTGCAGCGTATGAACGTGCGGTGCAGCGTATGAACGTGCGGTGCAGCGTATGAACGTGCGGTGCAGCGTATGAACGGGCGGTGCAGCGTATGAACGTGCGGTGCAGCGTATGAACGTGCGGTGCAGCGTATGAACGTGCGGTGCAGCGTATGAACGTGCGGTGCAGCGTATGAACGTGCGGTGCAGCGTATGAACGTGCGGTGCAGCGTATGAACGTGCGGTGCAGCGTATGAACGTGCGGTGCAGCGTATGAACGTGCGGTGCAGCGTATGAACGTGCGGTGCAGCGTATGAACGGGCGGTGCAGCGTATGAACGTGCGGTGCAGCGTATGAACGTGCGGTGCAGCGTATGAGCGTGCGGTGCAGCGTATGAACGTGCGGTGCAGCGTATGAACGTGCGGTGCAGCGTATGAACGTGCGGTGCAGCGTATGAACGTGCGGTGCAGCGTATGAACGTGCGGTGCAGCGTATGAACGTGCGGTGCAGCGTATGAACGTGCGGTGCAGCGTATGAGCGTGAGAAAAAGGGGGTCAAAGGAGGAGGCAGCAAGTAGGACGATAGGACTCACCACAATTGGTGCCAAGCACGTACAGCTTCTCCAATCCTAGATGCTGCTCCACTGCCCTCAATGCTGCCAGGGGAGGCGAGGGGAGGGGAGGGGAGGGGAGGGGAGGGGAGGGGAGGGGAGGGGAGGGGAGGGGAGGGGAGGGGAGGGGAGGGGAGGGGAGGGGAGGGGAGGGGAGGGGAGGGGAGGGGAGGGGAGGAATGCGAGAGACACACGGAGTGGGCTGAGGGGACAGGGGGGACAGACACAATAAGCTTCTCCAATCCTTACTGCTCCATTGTCCTCAACGCTGTCAGGTGGGCGAGGGTAGAGAGGGAGAGAAGGGACCAGAGGGGGCAGAGGCACAGAGACGCTGCTATAATGGCGCGACATTTGCTAATCTCAGAAGAGACACTCATGGTTGGCATGGGTACAGCAACAATGGAGCCGTACCCATGCCACTCATGGTTGGCATGGGTAATGACACCCAGCAACAATGGAGCCACTTTCAAGAAGCCGAGTTACTGACGAGGAGAAATCAGGCAGAGGCGCACACAGAAGGTTGTGGGCTCATAGGCGATCAGAGAGCAGCGAGTCGCATCTCGTGTAACACACTCACACCGCACTGCACCGCACAGCACTGCACTCACCCTGCACCTGGCAGCCCACTCCACAGAAGAGCAGCCGCTTCACCCCTGCTGCCTGTAGCACAGCGAGTGGGGATGGGAAGGGGGAGAGGATGCGGGAGCGGGTGTGAATCGTGATGTGTTGGTAGTGCTTCACACTTTTCAAATGCAATTCAGCGCATCACATACGGCAACACTGACCACTGCAAACGTCCACAAAGCAGCAGATTCAGGAAGAGTGAGCGGACCGACCGACCACACCCATTTTGGAGGAAAAGAGTCCTCAAAACACGACTTGACTCAAAACATGACTCGACTCAAAACACGACTCATCACACCAACACTGGCTAGGCTCCACAAGCAGCCTAGCCAGGAAGAGTGAGCGGACACCCATCTTGGAAGAAAATACCAAAAAGAGAAACACCACTTTTTTAGGCGCCTAAAAATGCTTTTAAGAGAAACACCTCACACCTCCACAAGAGCGTGTTGAGGTTGGAGGAGAGCGTGGGCTTCACACTTACGTGTCAGCACAGCACAGCACAGCACAGCACAGCACAGCACAGCACAGCACAGCACAGCACAGCACAGCACAGCACAGCACAGCACAACACAACATATTACAACACACCCAAACACCCTGACCACCACTCACCTCCACGAGAGCGAGGGTGTTGAGGTTGGGGGAGAGCGTGGGCTTCACCCCTCTGGCTGCCCTCACCTCCTCCTCTGTCCGAGCCAGCACGGGGCGAGGGGCAAAGCGGTCTGATGAGTCACTGAGATGGGATGGGAGGGAGGGAGGAAACAACGGGAAGGGGAGGTATTATGAGAGCACATGTCAGTGTGCATGAGAGAGTGGGCTTGACCCCTCTGGCTGCCATCACCTCCTCCTCTTTCCGAGCCAGCACAGGGCGAGGGGCGAAGCGGTCAGATGGGTCGCTGGGAGCGTGGGAAGGGAGGGAAAGGAAGTGAATGAGTGGCGAGACGTTTCTATGCCAATGACAGCGCATGGCAGAGTGTGAATGAGTGGGCTTTCACCCCTCTGGCTGCCATCACCTCCTCCTCTGTCCTCACCAGCACGGGGCGCGGTGTGAAAACGGTCAGAGGGGTCACTGAGAGTGGGAATGGGTGTGGAGGTAGAGGAAGGAGTGGAGACGATTCTATGCCAATGACAGCATAAGGCAGACCCCTCTGGGGAAGGAGAGGCGGGAGTGGGCTTGCCCCCTCTAGCCAACAATTACTGTCCCCACCAGCACGGGGAGAGGGGCAAAGCGGTCTGACGGGTCACTGGGATGGGGAGGAGAATGGAGGCGCGGAAGAAGGTGGGTGGGTGATGGAGGATGGGAGATGGTTTCTGCTGAGTTGACTTGGCCCCTTGGGATGTTTATTGTCCTCATCACCTCCTCCTCTAACGATTTTTGTGGCGCCTAAAAAGATTGGCTGAGTTGAGTTGGGATTTTTTTTTCCCACCGCATGCACCCTTTTTGAGGCGCCTCATAAAGTGTCAGCAATGCTCAAGCGCACCACCGCATGCACCCTCTGCAAAGCGCCATCTCCTCCCCCCACACACCCACCTCTGCAAAGCGCCATCTCCTCCCCCCACACACCCACCTCTGCAAAGCGCCATCTCCTCCCCCCACACACCCACCTCTGCACACAGATCACAGCATCAACCTTGCCCGTCCTCAGCATCTCCACGGCTATGGCTGTCACCACGCCCGTCCACTGCGCTCCTGGTGAAGGGAGGGAGGGTTGAAGGAGTGAGAGAGCAGGGATGGGGAAACAGGAGTGGTTGAGGGAGAGCGGCACATAGCAGCAGCATATGCACTGCTATTGGCGTCACCACGCCCGTCCACTGCGCTCCTGGTGGTGAGGGGGCAAGGAGAGGTCAAGGGGAAAGAGTGAGTGGAAAGGAGGGGCGCGTGAAATGAGGAGGAGAGGAGAGCAGGTGTTTAGGAGAGTAAGATGAGAATGAGAAGAAGGTGTTTCTCCACGTCCATATGGGACTGATTCTCGGCAGGGAGAAAAAGGAAGGCAGGGAGAAAAAGGAAGGCAGGGAGAAAAAGGAAGGCAGGGAGAAAAAGGAAGGCAGGGAGAAAAAGGAAGGCAGGGAGAAAAAGGAAGGCAGGGAGAAAAAGGAAGGCAGGGAGAAAAAGGAAGGCAGGGAGAAAAAGGAAGGCAGGGAGAAAAAGGAAGGCAGGGAGAAAAAGGAAGGCAGGGAGAAAAAGGAAGGCAGGGAGAAAAAGGAAGGCAGGGAGAAAAAGGAAGGCAGGGAGAAAAAGGAAGGCAGGGAGAAAAAGGAAGGCAGGGAGAAAAAGGAAGGCAGGGAGAAAAAGGAAGGCAGGGAGAAAAAGGAAGGCAGGGAGAAAAAGGAAGGCAGGGAGAAAAAGGAAGGCAGGGAGAAAAAGGAAGGCAGGGAGAAAAAGGAAGGCAGGGAGAAAAAGGAAGGCAGGGAGAAAAAGGAAGGCAGGGAGAAAAAGGAAGGCAGGGAGAAAAAGGAAGGCAGGGAGAAAAAGGAAGGCAGGGAGAAAAAGGAAGGCAGGGAGAAAAAGGAAGGCAGGGAGAAAAAGGAAGGCAGGGAGAAAAAGGAAGGCAGGGAGAAAAAGGAAGGCAGGGAGAAAAAGGAAGGCAGGGAGAAAAAGGAAGGCAGGGAGAAAAAGGAAGGCAGGGAGAAAAAGGAAGGCAGGGAGAAAAAGGAAGGCAGGGAGAAAAAGGAAGGCAGGGAGAAAAAGGAAGGCAGGGAGAAAAAGGAAGGCAGGGAGAAAAAGGAAGGCAGGGAGAAAAAGGAAGGCAGGGAGAAAAAGGAAGGCAGGGAGAAAAAGGAAGGCAGGGAGAAAAAGGAAGGCAGGGAGAAAAAGGAAGGCAGGGAGAAAAAGGAAGGCAGGGAGAAAAAGGAAGGCACACAGAGCACAGAGCACACGGAGTAGAGTCACAAATCAGACAGCAGAGCAGCACATATCACACTCACACACTCACATATCACACCCCACGCGGCACGCACCTCGATCCTGCCCATGCCGTCCCCGAGGAAGGCACATGCGTCCTTCACATGCGCGATGTAGTAGGTGTCGCACAGCCCGCACTGGCTGCGTGTTAAGTGGGGAGATGGGAATGAGGAGAGACGGCGATGGGGGAGGGATGGGAAAGGGGGAGGGAGGAGGCATCCGCAATGTGTGTGTGTGTGTGTGTGTTGTGTGTGTGTGTGTGTGTGTGTTGTGTGTGTGTGTGTGTTGTGTGTGTGTGTGTGTGTGTGTGTGTGTGTGTGTGCGTGCGCGATATTGTTTGGTGTTCTGCTTTGATCATACCTACGTACTTGATTCTCGTTACAGTCACACTCACCTGCAGTGGTCCTTGGCGGGATAATTCCCGCCAGGCTTGATTGCCCGCGCTTTCGTCCGCCAATCGGCCTCCGCCGTTCCGCCGCTTCCCCTGACCGCGCCCTCGGGCCCTGCGCGCACTGGCACGTGCGCATGGCGCAGGCGTGCGCGGAAAAGGGGAGACGGCGGAAAACGGAGAGCCTCCCCGCGGAACTGGCTGGAATTTGAAGCGCCGGCTGAGGGAATGGCGGCGCGGGGGGAAGCGGAAGACGCGCTGGGGGAAGCGGCGCGCGGATGGAGGCAATCGGGCGCGATTGCGCTCGCCGACAGAAACGATGCTGTTCCTACCATTCTGAATGTAGGAGACCAAAACGTCTTTATTGAACACCGAGGAAACGCGGTACTACGGAGATTACCTCTAGAGATTAATTTAGCCCCAGGAAACTATAGTTTAACCTCCGACCACGTAGGTCGCATAGCCGAATGAAGTCGATTTCGCCGTGTTTCCCAACGAAGCACCCAGTGCGTCTCTCCGCGTATCGTGCTACCGTTCGGAGGACCCACAGGGTAGACTGCGCGGATCAACTGGTTCCTGCGCTCTTGCTAGTCCCTAGACGAATGCGGATGCGGCGGATATCTCGAGGAGGATATGATAGTTTCAGTGAGTGATTCGATAAAACGCAAACGAGGTCCAGACTGAGTTGAGAGTGTAGGGAGGGATCTCGCCAGATCCGTACGCATTTTCGAGATTCTTGGAAGCCACGAACTGAACGGGTGCCACGTCAACGGTCAGGCATTCTGAGTCAGCCGAGGTTCACAGAATCCAAACTTTGTACACGCAAAATGCCTAGAAACCATGAATATACATAATATTTATAGCCTTCCCTCAAGTCCAGCTGATTAATTCATATTTATTGACTAACTCTGCAGCACAGGCAGAAATCTATTCACAAACCTGCCAAATCCTTAACGGCTGCCTACAAAACAAATTAAAAATTCTCAAACCAAACCCAAAATCCCTAGAACCAAGCCCCCAAGTCCCACTCCATAAAACTACCTTCACCCCAATCCACATGGCAAATCACCTACCCAGCCACCCTGGGAAGAGTAATGCCTAACCTAACCACAAGTCTAGCTCCCACTGCTGCTGCTGGCTCCTACCAGTTGATCCCTCCCTCCCTCCCCTTCCCCTTCCTTCCCCTTCCCCCTCTCTCCCCTCCCCTCCCCTCGCCTACCCCTGCTGCCACGCCTGCAAAAACCGCCTCCTCCCCACCTTCCTTCCTCGCCACACCTGTTTCTTGTTATTGTCTCAACACACCACTCCCCCCTTTCTTCATCTTCCCAAACAGCAGCTCGGGCAGCTTCGGGCGGCGGTACATCCGCAGCATAAGAGACGAGCACACCACGCTAACAGACGAAAGCGCCATCATTGCGCCGGCCAGCCAGGGCGGCAGCCGCACCATAAACACCGGATACAGCACCCCGGCCGCCAACGGAATCAGCAAAACATTATACCCCATCGCGAAAACATAATTCCATCTGATCCGCGAAAAAGTCTTCCTCGCCAGATCCAGCGCTGTAATCACATCCTCCAGATTCGACCGCATGAGGACAAAATCTGCCGCCTCAATAGCGACGTCCGTGCCGGCACCAATTGCAATACCAACATCAGCTGCAGCCAGGGCCGGCGCATCATTTATCCCATCCCCCACCATCGCCACCACTGTCTTGCTCTCACTCCCACTCAAACCCACAGCGGCAGCAGCAGAGGAGGCAGCAGCGGCACATGTGGAGCAGCAGGCAGAATCGCCCCAGCCAAGGACATGCCCCACACGAGACATCAACCAGCACCAACACCCGCACCCGCAGCAGCTTCTGTTGCTGCCGGGCGCAGGGTCGAGTGGGGGAGGCGCCATCTGCAGCGAGCGAATGGCGGCTGCTTTGTGGGCCGGCAGCACCTCTGCTATCACTTCGTGGATGCCCAGCTGGTGGGTGGGGAGGGGAGGAGGAAGGGGCAGGGGTGGAGGAGGGGGGTCGGGTTAGGACTGGGGGAGGTGCCGTCTGCAGCGAGCGGATGGCGGCTGCTTTGTGAGCCGGCAGCACCTCTGCTATCACCTCGTGGATGCCCAGCTGCAGTGGGTGGGGAGGGGTGGGGAGACGGGGGGGGAGAGGTAGGAAGCTGGGGGAAGTAAGGGAGGCCCAGCACCTCTGCAATCACCTCTTGAATGCCCAGAGAGGGGTGGGGAGCGTAGACATTGAATGAGAACACCAGAGCAGCATCTCACCTGTCATTCAAGAGCAGCATCTCACCTGTCATTCAAGAGCAGCATCTCACCTGTCATTCAAGAGCAGCATCTCACCTGTCATTCAAGAGCAGCATCTCACCTGTCATTCAAGAGCATCTCACACAGCATGGGCAGTGCGGCGGTTGCTCCCTGTCATCATCACAGCCCCCACGCCCACGCGCCTCAACCCACCATGGTCCTCCCCACCCAATTTTTGAGGCACCTCAAAACTCAACCACCATGGGCTTCCCCCCCCCACCCATCCACACCACACCTGCGCCTGTGCCTCACCTGTCTCGCCACGGCATGGGCAGTGCGGCGGTTGTCCCCTGTCATCATCACAGCGCGCACACCCATGCGCCTCAGCCCCTCCACCACCACTGCAGCCTCCCTCCTCACCGGATCACTAATCACCACGCTCCCCACCACCCTCACTCTCTCCTCCCTCACTCCTCTCCCCTCCTCCCTCCCACTCCCCTCCGCCTCGCCCCCTCCCTGCCTGCCGCCCACTGCCACGATGACACCTGTCCGCGCCTCCTCCTCCTGCGCCTGCAACAGAAGATCCACCTGAGCAGGCACCTGAACGCCCAGGTGTTCCATCAGGTGCCGGCTACCCACCAGAACCACCTGACTATCCACCCTGCATCGGATTCCCATCCCTGCTAGCACCTCACACTCTGTGGCTTCTTTCATCCAGCTCACATCCTTGGAAGGTTTGAGAGACGACGCAGCAGAAGGGGAGAGAGAGGAGCAGGTGGAGGAGGGGGAGGAGGAGAAAGGAGTGGTAGTCTCGTCCCCAGTAAAACCTTCCCCGGAAAAGACGAAATAGTGCTGCGCATAGTCCAAAATCGCCCGCCCGAGCGGGTGTTCGGAATTTGCCTCTGCTGCCGCTGCTAGGGATAGCAGCTCGGCTTGAGATATGGCCTCATTATCACACCCCTCGTTAGTAGCACAGTGCCCCTCGCTAGTAGCACACCCGAAACCACCAACATAAGGCACCACTGCTACCACACTCGGTTTCCCCACTGTCAGCGTTCCCGTCTTATCAAAAGCAACGCATGTGACTTTATGTGCTGCTTCTAGCGCCTCTCCCCCCTTTATAAGCACGCCCTGCGCCGCCCCCACGCCCGTTGCGACCATGACTGCCGTGGGGGTGGCTAATCCGAGCGCGCAGGGGCACGCTATAACGAGTACGGCGATAGCGAAGAGGAGCGGGAGGGTGAACTGCGAGTCTACCCCCGGGGGAAGCATGGCGGATGAAATGCACCCCATGCTCCCAGCCATGAACCTGGGGCGTGGGGGAAAGGGTAGAAAAAGGCGAAAGGGCAGAGAGAGGAGGTGGGAAGAGAGGAAGATGAGAATATGTGAAGAGAGCGGTGAGCGAGAGAGGAGTGGGGGGGAGAGGAGCTGAAAATCAACATCACGAGCATATGTTGAAGCGGAAATGCACAGCATGCATGCTTCCAGCAATGAACCCATTAGACATAAACCACATGAGCCGGTGACTGGTTACACCCACCAGCAAAGCCACATGAATTTCAGCCCAACAGGCACGAAGCAGCAGGGTAGACCTCAACGCACCAGCAGAGCCCGCGTGCACGCTAGACCTCAACGCACCAGCAGAGCCCACGTGCACGCTGAGAGCAACCACCACGGGTACAAACACCGTCGCCACACCCATGCATGCACACATGCGTGTCGTTGCAAGGACATACAAAGAACCTTCAACTCACCAGCAGAACCATGTGTCCTTGCAAACACGTGCATGCTGACAGCACCACCACCACGGGCACAAACACCGCTGCCACACGGTCGGCATACCAACACACCCATCCACACATCATGATAGCATCAGAGCAAGGTTAGAACCACTCACCAGCAGAACCATGTGCATGCTGACAGCACCACCACCACGGGCACAAACACCGCTGCCACGCGGTCGGCGAATTTCTGGATGGGCGCCTTGCTGAGCTGCGCTGACTCCACCAGCGCTACTATCTGCGCCAGAGCCGTCTCGCTGCCCACCTGTTGGTGCAAGCATGGGATCACAGGGGAAGGGACAAGGGGCAATGCAGGGAGACGGAGGCAGGGGGCAGGAGGCAGCAGGCAGAGGGGGTAGACTTCTGGATGGGCGCCTTGCTGAGCTGCGCCGACTCCACCAGCGCTACTATCTGCGCCAGAGCCGTCTCGCTGCCCACCTGGCATACACGGAAGAAGAGGGGGCAAGACGCACACAGAAAAAAGGGGCAAGGCACAGTGAGCGAACTGCTGAGCTGCGCTGACTCCACCAGCGCTACTATCTGCGCCAGAGCTTTCTCGCTGCCCACCTGGTGTGCAAAAGAGGGGGCAAGGAGAACACAGGGACGGAAGGAGGGAACAGGGGGCGTCCTTCTGGATGGACGCCTTGCTGAGCTACACCGATTCCACCAGTGCCACTATCTGCGCCAGAGCCGTCTCGCTGCCCACCTGTCAGTGTGCGCGTGTGGGAAGGGGGTGAGGGGGGGGTAATGGGTAAAGGAAGGGGAAAGAGAAAAGGCGGAAAGGGGGAGCGGAAAGGGGGAAGCGGAAAGGGGGAAGCGGAAAGGGGGAAGCGGAAAGGGGGAAGCGGAAAGGGGGAAGCGGAAAGGAGGAAGCGGAAAGGGGGGAAGAAGGGGGAAGGGGGACGGGGGAGAGACTGGCACATTGGCGGGACCCTCAGCCCTTGGCCAGTTACAGCCTACTGTGTATAGCCTAGCCCTCCCATGTACACCTCGAATTCACCACCCACCTGAGTGGCTCGCAGTAACACTCGTGCTGACAGGTTGACTGTGCCGCCCAGAAGGCGCGACCCCGCCCCCTTTGCCACGGGTGCTGCCTCGCCCGTGAGCATGGCCTCGTTCACATGCGTGGTGCCTGCAGGTGGGGGGGTGGACGGGACAACCAGCAGGGAGAGCAGGAGAGGAGAGAGAACAATGGAGGCATGAGAGGGACGGGCGGGTGGAATGAGCATCACTGGCATGGGTCATGGCAGCCTTAGCCACCGGTGCATTGGTGCGACTTTTGAAATTTCTCAAAAGTCGCACCAGCATGGCGCCCTGAGCCACCGGTGCTGGTTCGCCTGTGGGCATGGACTCGTTCACGTGGGTGGTGCTTGGGTGGGTGGAGTGGTGGGGCAGGTGGATGGGGGACAAGGAGAAAGGTGGGAGGGATATGAGTCAGGGGAGCACCGCAGCACGGCTCCCTTGGCCACGGTGCCGCTGACTCGCCCGTGAGCATGGACTCGTTCACGTGGGTGGTGCCTGGGGGGGGGGTGAAGGGACGGTTAGGGCAGAAGGGAAGAGAAGCGCCATGAGTGTCACTCATGGCGCTGTCCCACCCCAACCCCTTTGCCACCGGGGCTGACTCGCCCACCAATCACCCAATCACCCAACCACCCGTTAAAATCACTCCGTCTGTGCGCACTCTTGCCCCGGGCAGCACTCGCAGCACGTCAAACTGGCCCCATTCGACCTTCTATCACTCCCACCAACTACGCTCCTTACGCTCCTTCCACTCTCCAGCCAGCCACTCACCCGTTACAATCACACCGTCTGTGGGCACCCTCGCTCCCGGCAGCACTCGCAGCACATCCCCTCTCTGCAGTAGCCGTGAATCAACCTCCCTCTCTGCCACCACCTTGCCGTCTGAAGGGGTTGCGAGGGGTGGAGTGGGAAAGAGAGGGGCGAGGGTGAGACACAGGAGATGGCAGCACGCAGACAGCGCTCCCCTTCTCTGCAGCAAGCGTGAATCAACCTCCCTCTCCGCCACCACCTTGCCGTCTGAAGGGGTGAAGAGAGTGGGGTGGAGAGGGTGAAGGGATGGTGAGAGGGGAAGGGAGAGGCAAAGGCGTCAGTACTGGCAGCACATCGCCCCTCTGCAGCGCCGCGAGCCAACTTCTCTCTCTGCCACCACCTTGCCGTCTGGTGGGATGAGGAGAGGAACAGAGGGGAAAGAGAGGGGAAGAGAAGGGGAACGAAGCAGAGAGAGTCAGCACTTGAGGCACAAAACAAAGCACATCTGCAGTCACACCCACCGGCACAGCCATCAGAGGTGCCAGCTGCGGCGGCTTCTTACCAGCACTACATCTGAACCGTGCATTCAGAGCAGTCATTCCGTACCTGCATTCAGAGCAGTCATTCCGTACCTGCATTCAGAGCAGTCATTCCGTACCTGCATTCAGAGCAGTCATTCCGTACCTGCATTCAGAGCAGTCATTCCGTACCTGCATTCAGAGCAGTCATTCCGTACCTGCATTCAGAGCAGTCATTCCGTACCTGCATTCACGTCCACCAAGACGGCCGTCGCGGGCGCCAGCTGCAGCAGCTTCTGAATCGCCTCGGACGTTTTCCCCTTCGCCACGGCTTCTAAATACTTTCCCCCCAGAATAAACACTATCAGCATCACAGACGTTTCGAAGAAATCGTGCCCTAAGTACCGCCCCGAACCGATCTGCACCGCGAGGGTCAGCAGAGAGTAGCCATAGGCCGCCGAGGTCCCGAGGGCGACCAGCACGTCCATATTCGCGCTGCCGTGGCGGAGCGATCTGAACCCTGCGATGTAGAATCGACGGCCCAGATGGAACTGCACGGGCGTCGCGAGGAGGAGCTTCAGCCATTGGATGAGGGTCACGTGGAGGAAGGGGAGGGAGAGGAGCGGGGAGAGGAGGCGGGAGTGGGAGGCGAGGTTGAGGAGAAAGAGGGGGACGGCGAAGAGGAGCGAAAGGGAGAACTGGCGCGTGAGCGAGTGGAGCTCTGAGGAGCGGTCGGGACGGTACGAGCCGAGCATGCTCGGCAAGGCAACACGTAGCCCATGCGAGTGCGCATTCTTTCCTCCTCTCCCTTCTCCTCTCCTTTCCCCCCGCCTGTCTTCTCGCCTCCTGCTGACCTTCTCCGCGCCCCCATCGCTCCCCGACCCTCCCCCTCCCCCCTCCTTCCTCGCCGTCCCCGTTTTAAGGGTTCTGGACACTAGCTTCAAGACTGCATGGGCCCGTTCTGCCCACGGGCCCCGCTTCTTCCCTCGCCCGACCAGCTTCTCCCTCTCCTCGTCCTCTTCCCCACTCTCCTCCTTCACTCCCTCCTCCATAACTCCCTCTTCATCTCCCTCTCTCCCTTCCCCTTGCCTCTCCTCACTACCTTCCTCCTCTCCCTTCCCCTCCTCCTCCCCATCCTCCCCCAACCAATCATCAACCTCCTCCTCTTCCTCCTCCCCACCCATCCCTAACCCCACCAGACTAATCGCCTCTATAGCTCCCACAACGTCCCTAATCCCCGTAATTTCCGGGTCGTATTCTACCTCCACCCATCCGCTCCTAGAATCTACACTTACCTCCCTAACTCCCGCCACCGATAACACCGCTACTTCGACCGCAGCTGCCACGTCATCCCTGCCGCTCATCCCCGTTACAGTCACGCTCAGCCTGTCGCTCCCGCTATCCGTGCCGAGAATCGCGGCGTCGAACCCGGCATCTTCCACCAATCGCAACGCGTCTCTCACGCCGAGAATCGCGGAATCGAACGCGATCTCCGCGGTTTCGGTGGCGAGTGCGACGGAGACGCGTCGCACGCCTTTCGCGGATTGGACGGCGGTGGTAACCGCTGTAACGCACGCGGCGCAGGTCATGCCGGTTATGCGCACTCGCACTGTGACAACGCCCGGCGAATGCGGACCGGATAATGCTGCATCTTGCGACGGACCCGTTGCCGGTGCTGCCGCTGCCGGTGATGCTGCTGCTGCTGATGCTGATAGCGGCTGTCCGATTTGCGACCGTTGGGATGACATTTCGAACGGTTGCGAGGAGGAAAGAAGGGGATTCGCGACAGACGCGGTGACCGCACTCGAGACCAGATTCGAGACCGCAAAAGGCTCGGTTCCTGCCGTTTGCTGCGGTCGCGAGGGTTGTGAGGGTCGCGAGAGGGAGATGATTCTAGCGTCGAACCCGGCGTCTTCTACGGCGGTGACTATCTCGTTTTCATTCACTACAGCGGGGTCGAACGTGATCTGAGCTTGGTTCTGCAGCAGCGCGACGGCCGCGGCCGTGACTCCCGGCAATCTCGAGAGAGCGGTTTCCACGGCGGTCGAACACGCCGAACACGTCATGCCCTCGATTCCCACCACCACGCGCGCTGACGTGGCAGTAACGGAAGCTGCCGACGTGGAAGGTGCCGTCGCAGTTGGCACAGTTTCTGCTGCGCCATAAGCGGAGGTAGTAGCAGCAACCAGCGAAGCAGAGGGAACGGCAGGTGGATTAGCGGAAGCCGGAAACTGACGGACGGATGGTCGCGAAAGAGATATGATTTTCGCGTCAAACCCGGCGTCTTCTACGGCGGTGACTATCTCGTTTTCATTCACTATAGCGGGGTCGAACGTGATCTGAGCTTGGTTCTGCAACAGCGCGACGGCCGCTGCTGTGACTCCCGGCAATCTCGAGAGAGCGGTTTCCACGGCGGTCGAACACGCCGAACACGTCATGCCCTCGATTCCCACCACCACGCGCGCTGACGTGGCACTCGCCACTGCTGATGACGTGCCACCTGGCGATAAAGTCGCCATTGCTGGCGATAGTACCGCCTGGCTGGACAAGAACTTTATGAAAAGGCACGCGTCAACTGCAGCTCGTTAGAATATAGTTAAAATCCACGCAAACCTATCTGGCCTGCTAATGTTTTGCAACTTATGCGTGTCATGAAAGATAAACTAGCTACGGGAAGAAACCCAATGCGCAGGAGACGAAAACTCCCATCCACTGACTCCGCTCCCTGCTCGAGGACTAAGGTAGACTTCTATGCGGGTCAAAAAAAGGCAGGCACAATTACTGCTGCACTTCCAGCGATGTACGCGTTGCTTGCTTCTAAAGAGAGCTGTCGGTCAAAGTGAGTACTACGATTGGAAAGGCCATACCTTCATTGACCGGTTACCGTTCTCGCACCTCTTCGTGAAGACATCTCGCTACGTGCAAACAGTTCGCCGCCCGCTGCACATACGATGCTGTGACGAGGGGTTTGCTCGTAGGGGCCGTGAGGTGAAGCGGTCTTTCTTGGTGACGGCTGGATGGATGGATGGATGGCCGCTCTGCGACGACAGAGCCGAGGAATGCGGAGGCCACAGGGAACGAGCGACGGTGATTTTAGGACCGTGTGTGCGACTCAGTGACCACGATTGTGCTTGCTGAATGGACGACAGGCGTTTTTAATCGGGTGTGATTTTCTCGAAATACGCTGTGCGACGTGCTGTGTCGATTGGGCGATATCCTATGTCATCGTCGTGAGCTGTGTGAGTCGTACAAGGCAACGGTCAGGAAAGCACTGCGGAAACACCTCGTGTCACTGTGTACGTACTCGTTTCATCCATCTCTGATGTCACCTTATCAATGCGTTGAGGTACACGGAATAAATCAACAATGATGTAGAATTAACGCGGATAAAAAGTACTAGTGTAGCTGACAAGCCAACATCCGCTACACTTGTGCTTTTTTTCATCCATCTTTAGCCAACTGAAACCGTAAGTCAATGTTCTGATGAGCTAGTGGAGGCATTTTGTGGGAGAACTGCTTTTTCTATCAACCTCTGCCACCTCTCAAATCATGGCGTACATTAACTGTCAAAGCGCGGAGGAAGGAAAACGTTGAAAAGCACTTGTACGTCAAGCAGTCAGGACGCCTATTTTGGAGGCAAACACAACGAAGAACCAACTTTCATCGGATCAACGCATGGCCTTCCGCTGTTAGCAGAGCGGAAAGTGGAGGGACTTCTGTAATAATACAGGTAAAACAGGCGCACGCAGCTGTCGGTGGGAAGCACGCGATACGTACGCCCGGATGCGCAGCGCGGTCCTCCCGAACCTCCAATTGGGCCACTTGGCGGCGCCGGCGGCGGAATTTCTCGTCGAGGCTGGCCTTGAGGGTTCGTTTGCGAAAGCGGGGGTTTTGGCCGCATAGGGAGTTGTTTCGCAGCAGCCACAGAGGATGGACCTGCGATCATATGGAGGGGAGGGGATGATTGGAAGAGTGGCGATGGAAGGAGATTGAAGGAAAGAATGCGGTGTAGATGACTTTAAAAGTATTTCGATATTTGTTTTCCTGCTTAATTTGTGATAAGGGCCTCGGGAGCAAGAAGGAACAAGCCGTTTTGTGCTATTTAAAACGTCGAGACTCGCCCAGCAACAGCCGGGATTCGCCAGGAGGAGGCGGAATTTGTTAGCACGCTCGGAGAGGTAAAGACCATCGAGTCGACCGTGCGATTGTGGACGCACCATGAAATAAGATCAGAATTCCAAGCAGCGCCACAAGGAGCGTTCGTAACCAAGTATTCATGCCCTCTGACCTATGACTCCAAGCTAGCTAACCTGATTTGAACGAACGCGTGATCAAAGATCTGCTTGAGGTAAACGATTTTGTGTTAGCGAAATTCGAAACCTGGACTCCTAAACATGAACATATTAGCACAGACGCCATGGGAGAGGGGCGGTGCAGGCAGGTGCGTCCAAGGAATGTAGGTTGAGAACTGCAAGAGGTGAAAGGATCAACGGACAATTATTGACAATGCGTTCAGATGGAACTTGGGACCCGACGAATCGTGTTGTTGGTGATGCGGCTGTGGGGCGGAGTCAGATTTGTGGAAGAAATGACTGCGTTGCGAGCGAGTTGAAGTTATACCACTACTGTTATGGTGTGCAATGCAGATGTTTGTCAATGTTTTTGCAGGCTTACAAAACATTCAATATTCTGAACAAAACACCAAACATTACTGCTTCGACCCGGTTCATTGACGCATCTTCATTGACAAATAAATTACACGATTTGCAGTGCTGGCAAGTATGCACTCATGCTATCTGCAATATGCAATCCCACAGCAACAAGGAGGAACACGCCTATTATTAGACAGCCTGCTGCTAAAGCAGTTTATTGTGCAAGGCCCTTCTGGGATTGTGCAAGGCCCTAGCTTTATTTTGGCAAGCACAAGGTGGAGCCAACCTTGAGGGGCTCAACGCACTTGTACCCGTTAAGCTGCTCAAACAGTTGAGCCCGCTTCTTGTACAAATCTAAAATCAAGTCGGAGCATGTGTCTGTGATTCGCACCGTCCTCGACTCTCCTGCACAAGCGGCCATAGTCGGAAGAGCTGGAAAAAGGGAGCACGGAGAGCACGCATAAAAAGAAGAACGGAGACAAGAGGAGTGATTACTGATGTGCGAAACGAGAAAAGGTGATCCCCACGAGATTTTACAATAACGGGTCAGAAGCCAGTGCGAGATCGGCAGTTCGCCTAGACAAAGGATGAACTAGCATTGGCGGTTCATCTAGTCTACAAATAAATGAGCACGACCACTCACCAACAGAGACGAGGAGGACGGCTGCAATCGCTACGATCAGGAGCTTCATGCGAGTCCTCATTGTGTCAATTAATATGAACTTGTTGAAATATGAAATTGTGAAGACAGTACGTCAGCGAGGTTAAAGAGGCACAGAACGATGACTACGGCTAATAGAGGAGGAGGACGCTGCAAGTGCTATTGAAGGGAAGCTCGAGCACATCTAAATACCAGTCTCAAAGATTCCGGTTTTAGCCTCTGTCTGTGCAAATCGATCGCCAAACGCGGTGTCCGCGCCCTGCCGCAGGGAGTTTTCGAAGCGCGATGTGACGCCATCTGTGTCGTAATGAAACTGTACGTGATGACAAAGTCAGTGATGGTACCACGCAACCATGGGAGTATGCCATAAACATCCAGAAGCGACTCGGTTGCAGGAGGTACATCCGTTGTGGGAGGTGCATCCGAGGCTGTCGTGGAACTGGAGTGTGGGTTTGACAGTTGTGGCACGAGGATAACAAGCGAAGAACCTGTGGGTATTGTGGTAAGATAGGTGGCGCAAATGGTTTCCACCTGCGAGCGCAGAGTTTGTGGTGTGGTGATGTGCCGGTACAGTGGCGCTCGATACCAGTTACGACTGTGGATGTACCCACTTTATAATTGTAATACGTTCCTACAAAATAGTGGCGCTCGATAAATTGAAACATCCACAACAAAAACAGATGTCATTATGTTGGAACTGGTAAACTCGCTGGTGAATACCGTATGTGAAGCAATTTATGGTTTAAATTTTACATTATCACAGTGCATGTACAGTTGCATTTGGGTGGACCTTCACCAGGGGTTTTTTTATCAGAGTAAATTACTCTTTCTCTGAAAATCAGAGTGGTTTTTAGGGGGTCACTCTGACGTGTCTGGGTAAGTTTTTTGGAGGATAAGTTTTCTCTGATTTGTCAGGGTTCTGATTTTAGCTACTCTGAGAGACCAGTGTATATTTGTGGCGGATGTACTTTTCTCTGTACAGGGTATAGGCATTTCGACCGACCCTCCCTTCCCCCCCCGCGCCCCCCAATTGGTGGGTTAAACAGAATATATAACGTCCGTAAGCAATCTTAACGATGACCGCGTAGCACAACGCTTACCATAGTTTTTTGGTAGGAGTGCAGAAGGCCTGGGTTCAATACTTGAGAGGGCACTCAGAGTTGGAAAAATAGGTACACTGGGTGCCCAGAGTAATTTTTTCAGAAGTGAAGTTTTCTCTGACAAATCAGAGTAACGCTCATAATGAACCCTGAATTTCAGAGTTCCCTAGAAAACAGCTCTGGAAATCCGAGTAGTGAAAATCCAAAAAAAAACCCTGACCTTCACGCACGTAAACATGTTCTTCCTTGCTGATTTTCAGGAAATTTGTGAGACAGCCGCTTGGCTTGGCTACCATTGCGCCATTGCGATTACGGTAGCCTTGTAGTGAAGGACCAAATGCTTTGATGGGCGAGGGTGGAATGGTTAACTATGGAAAGAAAAAGTTGTAGGGGGTTAAAGGTAGTCCGTGAGGACCCGGAGGGGTTTGAAGTAGAGGTTGGGAATAAGAGAGAAAGGGAGGTCATGGCACTGGACGAGGAGGGGGGGGAGGGGAGTGATGGGAAGAGGAAGAGGTGAGGGGAGTGATGAGGGGGGGGGGGGGAAGGAGGGGGGGGCAGGGGGAAATGGAGGAAGAACAAGCGGAGGAAATGGAGGGAGGTGGACGAGGAGCAGAGGATGATATGGTTGACAAGTGCGGATTGTTGGGCTGAGAAAAGCCCTTGCGATCTTTCCAAGACTAAACTCTGAGTAGAAGTGTTGTAGAGCGTTTGTAACAAGTGTTGAACCACCTTGCGCTGGTATGTGAGGGCAAGATAGATTGATTATAGAAAAGTAGTACAAGCCTTTTATAAGATTACAAGGAATATGAAAGGGTGCAACCAGTAATTGTTTTACTGTTGCTGTTGCGGTTCGATACAGTGACGACTCGGGCAACTGCTCAGTATCGAGTCAGTTGTTTGTCCTTGCTGTCGCGCTGTATTTTTCAAGTCAAAGGTCGCTGACCTTTGACCAGGGCTGACGATATCAGACTATTTTAGTCTGATTGTCTGAAATTTCAGACTATTTTCCTGACATTCTTGATTTTTCAGAGTTGGCTGATTTGGAAAAATGAGTGCTTCAGACTAATGGTTTTTTCGATACTGAAAATTTCAGAGAACTTGCTTACCGGATAATGAGTTTTCATACTACAGAGTACGAACTCCCCTTCGCCATACCTAATACTTCGAAGAAAACCCATCCCTCGGAACTTGTGCAGAAGGCTCGTTAGTAGGAAAACCTGCCTTAGTCTCTGAATTATAAAAATTTCAGAGTTATACTTCTCTGGTTCCTGAGAAATCAGAGTATTCACTTTTTGGAAAATGGGCCTCAGACTAAAAAAAATTGGGGGGCAAAAAAAATCAGAGTGGTTTTATTTGAAAAGTCAGCCCTGCCTTTGACCTTCGCGTAACCTCCAGAAGTTACATTTTGTCAACCTCCTCGGTTGACTCGCCGGGTGCTTCGTTGTAGTTTGCTTCGCTTGCGGTTTAGAAGCGTTTAAGTTTGCTTGTTTCCAACACACCCCTTCGCTTCTGGAGTGTCACTGCTGGTGACGTGGCCTTGTCCAGTCAGCAGCATGCAGTACTCAAACTTCTGCTTTCCGAGCTTCTTGGTCAAGTAATCAGCTGCCATCTCGGATGTGGGACAGTAGGATAGCTCGAGTCTCCCCTTCTCGATCTCGACTTTCACAAAGAAGTGTCGTAGGGCGATATGCTTCGTTCGGTTCGCGAACCCGTTCTTGTTCACTATGCGAATTGCAGATTGGTTGTCGCAGAACAGAGTGAAGCTGGGTAACTACTTCGCTTTTTCCAGCAGTTCGCGAGGGTACAATTCTTCCTTGGTGGCTGAGCAGAGTGCAATATATTCTGCTTCAGCTGAGGAGAGAGCGATTAGTTCCTGCTTGCTCGACTGCCATGAGATGGGCCCGATAGGCTCGATTTGGTAGATGTTGTCAAGAATGAGAAGTGATTGGACTAGGAAAAGTGTGGGGTACAAGTAGGAAACCCTAAAGTTATCATACCCCATAGTATCTACCCCACTACAGCCTAAACAAATGTAGCAGATATAACATTTGACACACCCCCATAGGCAAAGTGGGGGAGAGCAAGGGGTCACAAGACCAGTCAAGAAAGGCAAAGCAAGCTCAGGGTGGATCACAACGTCACCACACTCACTGAGCACAAGCAAGAGGCCACAAGGCCAGTTCACATGCAGAGGCATATATGTAACACAAGCATCACACAGATCTCTACCTAGCAAAGCAAGCATGCAGGTATATATACATATAGATCACAGTACAGGCAAAGTCAACAACAAGTGAGGAACTAAGAGGGGGAGACTGGTTCAAGTGGGGATTTGTGGCGATGGATAGTGGCGTTTGAAGCCAGCGTCCAGAAGGATGGCTCGAACCTTTCGAGTAAAAAATCGACTAGGAACAGGGCAACCCGTGTTTGATTGCTCCAACTCGCGACTCCCGAAGAATGGATTGAAACTTTGTTGTGATTGGCCAAATCATAGCAGCCGAAAGAATGACGACCCTTGCAAAAAAACACGAGATTTTGGCTCTCACCAAGCATCGTTCACTCGCACCATGTTCACACCAGCAGTGACGACCTCTCGTCATTGTTTTGATGCATCATAATCTAGTCGTACCCTATGTCCAATTAGATTACCCCCTACGGTCACACACACGCAATAGTCGGTAGTTTGTTCGCGACCAGACTTTTAGAGCCTTCTCTGCCTTCCTTTGCTACCAGACTTAGCCTTCTCCGCCTTCCCTTCCCAGCCATCGCCCTCATCTCGCATCGCCTACTCCGTCGACCTCGCTTCCCTACCGCCGCCGTCACTCTCGTATCGTCTTACCTGTCGACCTCACTTCCCCTCCCGTCACCCTTCGCGTTGCTTGAGGACAAGCGCGAGAAGGAGATATTCCAACTGCAAAGCGCGAAGGCCCTCGCTTCCCCTACCGTCGCCTCTCGTCTCCCCTCGCTACTCAATTCCTTAGGGGGCGTTCCCATGGTTTGGACGACAAATGAGTCTGCCCACGCGGGTGGGAGAGGGGGGGGAGGAATTGGAGGAAGGGGAGAAATGGTAGGAAGGGGAGGAACAAGCGGAGGAAATTTATGGAAGAAAGAAGGACCATGAGGACGAGGAAGATGAGGAAGGTGGAAGAGGAGGATGAAGAGGAAATGGGAGAGTAAGGGGAGGAAGAAAAGGTGGAGGAACACGAGGAGCAAGAGGCGCTGGAAGTGCAGGAGAGAGGCGGAACCAAAAGACCAGGGCGTAGAGAGGAAAAAGCGGAAGCGGAAGGAGGGAGCGAAAGGCGCAGGAGAAGGGGAGAAATCACCGGGGGGATTGGCGGGATCGGCGGGGTTGGAGGGGGTTGGAGTTGCCAAGGAAGCTTCCGCGAATGACACTCCAGGGAAGGTGAAGAAATGCAAGGAGGAAAGAGAACGAAGGAGATGCGGCGGCGGAAACGGGGGATAGGAAGGGAAAGGCGGGGAAGGCGGAGGTGGGGAATGCGGGGACGGGGGAGAATGCTGCGAGGGAGGCGGGGAGAATGCTGCGAGGGAGGCATGGAGAATGCTGCGAGGGAGGCAGGGAGAATGCTGCAAGGGAGGCAGGGGGAATGCTGCGAGGGAGGCTGGGAGAATGCTGCTTTGGAGGCAAGGGGAATGCTGCAAGGGATGCAGGGAGAATGCTGCAACGGAGGCAGGGAGAATGTTGTGAGGGAGGCAGGGAGAATTTTGTGACGGAGGCGGGGAAGGCGTTCGATACGCTTCACATGTACAGCACGCACGCGTTCCCATCATCTCGCCCACCCGAGAGCTCGCCAAGCAGGTGGGCTTATGACATAGGGTCGGAGTGTGGAGGCTTCGAAGGGGTTCATGGGGGCGTGCGGGCGTGGGTGCGAGGGGGCTTGGAGTCTATGCTTTAATCTCAACCGCCAGAGACTCCCGTCAGAGAGACGCTGGTGCAACATGTGTTGTGTGAGGTGGGGGTTGAGTTGGGGGTTCAAGCGGAAGGGTGGGGCGTGGATTCTCGAGAAGTGGAGGGTTGGGTCGTTGAGGATTGGGACGTGGAGGCTCGGGTGCATTATTGTGCCCAGCAGAGACTCCTTAAGAAGAAAGTTGGCCAGCACAGATACGGTGCGGCAGCACACTTCCCTCTCCACTTGCCTCCTTCCCCCCTCATCCTCACACCCATCTCCCCCTTGCCTCCTTCCCCGCTTGCCCCTTCACACCCATCTCCCCCTTGCCTCCTTCTCCGCTTGCCCCTTCACACCCATCTCCCCCTTGCCTCCTTCCCTTACCCCTCACAGCCAGCGTAGGAGTGGCTCGGGATATGATGGTCCACCACAAGCAGCCGTTCAACATTGCGATAGGCGCCATCCTCTCCCCTCCCCCTTCCAATCCTCCGCTTTGAACCAACTCAACATGACTGCTAAGTCAGAGTCAAATGCCATCCTCTTCTCCCCCCCCCCGTCACCTCTCATCCCCCCCACTCCCGTACTTCCTTATTCTCCTTCTCAGATATTTTGGAGTGGCTCGTGTTGGGCAACGCAAAACTTCAGTAGTTCGTGTATGCTGCCACTAGCACCAACATACCACTCACCACCAAGTACAGTCCAAGAGTATTATTATTATGTGATACATATGCGTGAATACACTGCAAACTGAGCAAGGCTTGCAGGCCTTACACCGCATTGAAATCCTACCACATAACAATCATAATCCAATATATTGCCTTTTTTTTTTACCATGCAGAAAGTACAGTTTGAGCAAGGCATGATGTCGCTGTTGCTAACAGTGCAACTCGAAAACAGGGAGAACACGTGTGCCACGGAGGACCTGTCAAAGTAGGCAGTTGTGGTGAAAGGCCCAACAGACATCATCTTATCTACCCAAGTTCTAGTTCGACGGCGGCGGTGGCGGCTGCGGCGGCGGTGGCTGCAGCGGCGGTGGCTGCGGCGGCGGTGGCACACAGATCACCCTGGACCTAGGGCGTCGCACACACTTGTAGCCATTGTACTGCTTGAACAGCGAAGGGTTCGCTTCATAGTACATCTTGATTAAGAAATTACAAGATTCCCACGAGACCTCCCTTGCCGTTCCCTTCTGGCAAGCACTCCCAGCCATACTCGGAAGAGCTGGAAGGAAAACGGGGGGGCGAGTATTATTAGCGAACAAAAACAGCAGAGCAAACTAATAACAACCAAGGCGCAGAACGGTTACCCGAGAAGAGATGAACCGGACATTTGCACTACGATGGGTTTGTCGGTTTGTTAGTAGAAGAAATCAGTGCGCGTAAACTCACCAGCAGAGACGAGGAGGACGGCGAGAATCGTTGCGATCAGGAGCTTGATGTAGGTCCTCATTATGTCAATCAATTACAAATCTGAACTTGTCGGTGTAGGTAAGTCAGTGGCAGATGAAGTAGTACGGCCGAGAAGGCGATGCCAGCAAGTAATAAATCAGGCAAGCGGCTCATTAACCTCTGACTAATGCTAGTGTCCAGTATGGCTCTGCTATTATCCTTTTGCCTGTAGAGCTTACTTGAAGCTGTCAGCAAGTTTTAAACGTGGGCATTGCCCTTCTCATTCAGCTATGCATTTGCCAGCGTTCCAAGCACGGAGTCAGCACTGCCGAAGTCAGGGTCTGTAGCGCCAAAGTCAGCCCGCTAATACCCCCCAACCCTTCCCCCTCTCCTCCTCCCTGCCCCCCCTCCCCCCCCACCCCCTTCCCCCCGCCACCCTCTTTCGTCTCGAGTAAGCAAGCTAAAACAAATTGGACTTATAGTGTCCAGCACGGGTCCGCTATGAACCCTCTGCCTGAATACCTCACTTGAAGCTGTCACCTTTGGATGCATCTGCCAGCGTTCCAAGCAAGGAGTCAGACCTGAAGATACCCCCCCCCCCCCCCCCCCCTTCCTCTTTCGTGTCAAGTAGGCAAGCTAAAAATTCTCAGACTTATTGTGGCCAGCACGGCTCTGCTATTATCCTTCTGCCTCGAGAGCTAACTCGAAGCTGAAGCTGTCAGCAGGTTTCAAAGGCAGTCATTGCCCTTCAGACTCAGCTCCGGACCAGAGGATCTGCCAGCGTTCCAAGCACGGGACGGGGTCCGGGAGAAAACTCTCACATCGCGATTGTTGGCTTCGATAGAAAGTTGTTGAGGGTGTTATCAAGGGCAATGTGAGCATTAACGGCTCTGGCGAGGTGAGAATCAACGCCATAGTCTGGGTCTGGGGTGGGCTAAGGCTGTAGCGCAAGTCAGTGTGGCTCTGTCTGTGTGCATGTTATTGGTTCGTGCGTTTTCGGTTGGCGTTGAAATCGTGGCACGATTTTGGGTGGGTGAGCCACAACAATAAATCGAAGCCTGGTTCTTCGCTAATCAAAATTGTGTAACCCTTTTCGCGAAACACGAGATGCTTTGTTCCGTTATAAACTGCTCGCTGACGGCCATCGACAGTTGGTATGTAGTGTATAAATTGAGTGCTACTAAAACTGAATGTGCTCAAAGACAATGCCAGACAACAGACCTCTGCTGTGCTCCCGCTCTCACCTCGCACTATTCGCGACGTGATTTTCTTCTGGACTTGCGGCGACCATGTGTACAGCATCACGCACGCCTCATCACGTACGCATCATGCCAGTCTCTGGTGGTTTCTGTGCTATCGTGCCACCGCTTCGCAAGGGAAAGATACCCGACATATATAGTCCAGATAACTTATCGTAAAGGATTCCTGGTCGTGCGAGCCATTTCAAAATGTCGCGACGAGCGACTGTGCGTACCGCGAGAGATTAGATGCCCAGAAAGGGCGACGCGAAAAGCAGCGGCGGTGGAATGGCCATGCGAGGAAGGAGGCGGAAACGAAGGGTTGAACGTAGCGCGTGTTTAACGAAAGGGAGATCACTATGGAAGCGAAGGAAAGAGGACAGAGACGAGATTATTTATGGAAGTGGACGAAGTGGGGGGGGATTGAGGGGGAAGAGGAAGAGGGGAGTGGGGAGGGAGTTATGTGATGCTATCATTTGCATTCACGTATGTCTGCCTCCCATCATATGTTCGTGCGTTGCATGCGTGGTGTGAGCGTGTGCAGGAATTTGTGTTTGGTGTGGTTTGGATTGTCTGAGTGTGTGTGAATGTCATTTGGTTTGAGCAGATATTTGAGGTGACTCCTCTGCTCAAGAGTTTTCCGACGAACCAAGTATCGCTTCAATCGGAGCACGAACAAGAAAGTTACGAATGTTAGAAGTTCGTATGCTTTTGATATTTGGTTGTGGTGACTATGGGAAGTTGTGGGGTTGACTCCATAAGGGGTATAGACTTTTGGGGGGTTGGGAAATTCGTAAACATCACTGTACATGCTGCCAAGTTATTGGGAGAAGCCAAACCAGGTTGGCAAGTGTGGCCAACTTGGGTGAGGTGGATTGTGGAGGTTTGAAAAGTGACAAAGGTTAAAGTTGGGGTTGCCTAGAGAGAGGGGAATTGTGTGGCATGGGGTTTCCTTGGTTGGGGACTCCCTTGGGACCTTCCCTCTCGTCCTCCTCATCCCCTCCTACCTGGTTTCTAGCTACTCTAACTTTCTTGTGTGAACTTGTGAGACCTTGTGATTGAGTTAAGATTCTATGGCAGTGTACCCCCCTGTGCGCCGAAATTGATAAGTCGAGTTATACTTCACCTCTTGATACGATTCAACTTGAGAATTGTAGCTACGCTCTAGAGCTACAACATATCCAAAAATGGTGAAGTTTTAACAGTGCGTTTTTCGTCGACGACGTTTCTTGTGAGCACGAATATTCTGTCCAGAAATTGAGACCAACGATTTTGTGATATTTCGACTCCTAATCTTCATAAACTCCGTCCTTAGTCTCTAACAAAGGGGGAGGAGGGGGAGTAAGGGGAGGAGTGGAGGAGGGTGAGGAGGAACAAGCGAAGGAAATGGAGGGAGGGGAAGAGGAGGACGAAGGAGAAGAGGACGAGGAGGGGGAGAAAGAGGATGAAGAAGAGGAAGAGGAAGGTGAGGAGGAAGAGCAGCAGGAGTAAGAGAAGCAGGGTTCAGAGAGCAAGAAGCGGAAGCGGAAGGAGGAGGCGAAGGTCGTGGGGAAAGGGGCGAAGGCAGCGGCGGAAGCGGCGGGTTCGGCGGGGCGGGGAGAAGTGGGTGCGGTTGGGTCGACCAAGGCGAACATGGTCGCCAAGGAAGCTTCCGCGAGAAATGCTTCGGGGAATGTGAAGAATGCAAGGAAGGGAGTATAAGAATAAGAGAGGCGAGAAGGCGGAAAAAGGGGAAAAGGCAGGGACGGGGGATAAGAAGGCGAAGACGTTGAAGGCGGCGGAGAAGGGGGAGAAGGTGGGGAAGGCGGCAGAGAAGGGGGAGAAGACGGGGAAGGCGGCAGAGAATGGGGAGAAGGTGGGGAAGGCGGCAGAGAAGGGGGAGAAGGTGGGGAAGGCGGCAGAGAAGGGGGAGAAGGTGGGGAAGGCGGCAGAGAAGGGGGAGAAGGTGGGGAAGGCGGCAGAGAAGGGGGAGAAGGTGGGGAAGGCGGAAGAGAAAGGGGAGAAGGTTGGGGAAGGCGGGAGAGAAGGGGGAGAAGGTGGGGAAGGCGGAAGAGAAGGGGGAGAAAGTGGGGAAGGCGGCAGAGAAGGGGGAGAAGGTGGGTAAGGCGCCAGAAAAGGGGGAGAAGGTGGGGAAGGCGGCAGAGAAGGGGGAGAAGGTGGGGAAGGCGGCAGAGAAGGGAGAGAAGGTGGGGAAGGCGGCAGAGAAGGGGGAGAAGGTGGGGAAGGGGATGAGAAGGGGGAGAAGGTGGGGAAGGCGGCAGAGAAGGGGGAGAAGGTGGGGAAGGCGGATGAGAAAGGGGAGAAGGTTGGGGAAGGCGGCAGAGAAGGGGGAGAAGGTGGGGAAGGCGGCAGAGAAGGGGGAGAAAGTGGGGAAGGCGGCAGAGAAGGGGGAGAAGGTGGGGAAGGCGGCAGAGAAGGGGAAGAAGGTGGGTAAGGCGCCAGAAAAGGGGGAGAAGGTGGGGAAGGCGGCAGAGAAGGGGGAGAAGGTGGGGAAGGCGGCAGAGAAGGGGGAGAAGGTGGGGAAGGCGGCAGAGAAGGGGGAGAAGGTGGAGAAGGCGGCAGAGAAGGGCGGAGGAAAGCGTCCTAAACCCTGGAATTTAGTACCCCAGATGGGCTTTAAGCACGTGATGGAGGTAAGCAGTGCTATAACCGAGAGTCCTACGTCCCAGGTGGACTTGCATAACAATAAACGAAGCGCAAATTTAAGAGGAGACGGGCTTTCCCTGCCAGTGGTAAGCGCCACTAAATTCGAGTGTTTTATGTCCCATGTGCGCTGTAAACACAAGCCGGAGGTACTCACCGCTATTCAACACTCTATGCTAGCGTCCATATCATTCAATGCCAAGCGTTCCATGCCTCAGGTGGGCTTTAAAAACTCGAGAGAAACACGCGCCCTGAGCCATTCAGGTGTCCTACCAGGTGTGCTTCTAATGCATGACGGAAATCAGTGGTCTAGAGAGTATGAGGGCTTGTAATCAGAAGCGTTGCCTTTTTAAAATCATTACGCGTGTCAGGGTTCAAGGTCTGGGTTATTGTACTGAAACCATACATCCGGTGTTTAAATCTGGAGCAGCTTAGAAAATGGCGTATCGGGGTGTAGGGTTACTGCACTGAAGGTTGTGGGTTGGTGTTTCTATAGTGGCGTGTAACACGCCTCGTATTTCATTCATTAGCGTTCTCTCTCGTCATCGACTCGTTTTTAAGAACCGGTTGGGATGCGAACCTATTCAGAGCCCGATGCCGGTCTTCTATCCGTGTAAATACCCCCCCTCCCCCTCTCTCCTCACCCCTCCCCCCCCCCTTCCCCTCCCTTCCCCCCCTCTAACCCCCGCCATCCCCTTTACAACAAGGATATAAACTATGCTGTACGTCCAGGCTCGGACCCCTTCCCCCATGCCCCTCACACCGTTCTTCTCCCGTGCCTCCTCCCCCCTTCCCCTCACACCCATCTTCACCCGTGCCTCCTTCCCCGTACCCGTCACACCCATGTTGGGAGTGGCTGGGGATCTGATGGCCATAAATCCAGGCTAGTGTGGCGTACTGACACCAGCGTAGCTTACTCATCATCACCAAGCACAAGTTCGCTTTTCCGTGGTATTAATTCTCGTGATACGCACATGTGAATATTAGCCTTGGGGGCCTTACACCACATAGAAATCCTATCTCATATCAATCACACTCCCAGCTCTTCTGTTTTCTTTAGTGCCATGCATAAAGTGCAATTTGAGCAAGGCTTGCTGTCTCTGTTGCTAACTTGCACCAATGTACAACTCAAATCAAGGGGAGCACGTCAGGCCCCAATTGCAAAGGCAGTTAAGGCCTGTCTGACATACTGTTATCTAATTGAGTTTTATACGGCACACAGATGACGGAGCCAACCTTAATGCGGTCTGGTGCACATGGGTAGCCGTTGTACCCGTTGAACATGTTACGGTTGTTTCCGTAATACTTCACAGTTACATCGCGAAACTATGTTTTCTTGCTTTCGTATCGGAAACCAGTTGCCAGCGACTGGTTGGGTAAAACCAGTCGTTTCGACTTGCAAACCATTGGCTTTGGCCAATGGTTTGCGATTTGGATGCTTTGGTGGCGTATCGGTTGCGTGTTGTCCAGCGCGAGTCCGAGAAGTCGAACCTGATTTCGAGGCATGGTTGGTGAGTTGTAGGTTTGGCACAGGTTTGGAAGTAGCTCTGAAGTTTTTGGCCAGTCGCGAAGCTCCACGCCTGCACGTTCTGGATGGTCGAAATTTTGCCTCTACCATCGATGGTTTGAGATTCCATTATCTTGTATAAATGTTCCCAGTGTAACTTATCGTGTTAGTTGATGTAGATTTATGTACGTGAAAACATTTGCTGTGATTTCTGAATATTTTGTTGTTTTTTTTGCGTATTTAACTCATGCAAATCTTATTATGAAAATATAACATGATACTTAACATACAATGCAGACATAACATGGCGTATGAATTACGTTGGAAGTACATTAATGTAGTGTTGTAGTGGAATTAGAATCACACACCTGCTACACATGTAATGAAATCGTTCATAAATTACGCGAAATTGGTACAGTTTAGGGTACCTTCAATCTGTATACTCCATAACACATAACCGCAAGGGCATTCCCTTTTCGACGCTTGTTGTGAGTATTGTTGAAAATGTCTGAGAAATTCACTATACAGATAGGAAACGTTGCACATACGATTCATCCTGGCCGTTTAATCCAATCTGTAAAGTATCGCCCAGTCAACATGCGAGGAGCCCATCTACAGATAGATCGCGCGTGGGCCCTGGCAGGGACAGATCGTTCAACGTTCGGGTCTGTCCAGGTGCACACAGGGTGGGGGAATTCGGAGGTTGCAGGCGAATCAATACTTTGCCAGCGCGAAACATTGCAGGTAGGTGGATACTTTGCTTCTGCAGTTCGCACAACAGAAATGCTGGCGCGTCAGGTGTTTGCGCGCCAGGTTTTCTTTTCGCTGGGTAACCAGTCGAAAATGCGTGCTGCGTCAGCCAGGCACAGCCCTGTGACAAACTCTTATGCTATAGTCTGTGTAGGCTATAGTGGGGTAGACAATATGGGGTACAACACTTCTAGGTTTTCCTACTTGTACCCACCTGCTTGTTAGTTCATTCATTCCTCATTTCTTCACATGGTATAGAGCAGGTTCCCTAGTGGGAACGCTTCCTTGGGCCCACCACTGAAACCTTTTTTTTCTGACCGGAGCGACAGTCGCTCCTGCCCGAGGCGCGCCTTGTGGGCCGCCCTTCTGTCGAGCTCTCTTAGAGGCCCCTCTCACGGCCCCTCGCGCCACCCTTAGCGGCCCCGTCGCCGCCCCTAGCGGCCCCGTCGCCGCCCTTCCAGGCCCCTCGCGGCCCCTAGCGGCCCCGTTGCCGCCCCTACGCGGCCCCGTAGCCGCCCCTAGCGGCCCTGTCGCCGCCCCTAGCGGCCCCGTTGCCGCCTCCCTCCCTACGCGGCCCCGTTGCCGCCCCTACGCGGCCCCGTCGCCGCCCCTAGCGGCCCCGTCGCCGCCCCTACGTGGCCCCGTCGCCGCCCCTAGCGGCCCCGTAGCCGCACCCCTCCCTACGCGGCCCAGTCGCCGCCCCTACGCGGCCCCGTCGCCGCCCCTACGCGGCCCCGTTGCCGCCCCTAGCGGCCCCGTCGCCGCCCCTAGCGGCCCCGTCGCCGCTCCCCTCCCTACGCGGCCCCGTAGCCGCCCCTACGCGGCCCCGTCGCCGCCCCTACGCGGCCCCGTCGCCGCCCCTAGCGGCCCCGTCGCCGCTCCCCTCCCTACGCGGCCCCGTCGCCGCCCCTACGCGGCCCCGTCGCCGCCCCTAGCGGCCCCGTCGCCGCCCCTACGCGGCCCCGTCGCCGCCCCTAACGGCCCCGTCACCTCCTCCCTCCCTACGCGGCCCTGTCGCCGCCCCTACGCGGCCCCGTCGCCGCCCCTAGCGGCCCCGTCGCCGCCTCCCTCCCTACGCGGCCCCGTCGCCGCCCCTACGCGGCCTCGTAGCCGCCCCTACGCGGCCCCGTCGCCGCTTCCCTCCCTACGCGGCCCCGTCGCCGCCCCTACGCGGCCTCGTAGCCGCCCCTACGCGGCCCCGTCGCCGCCCCTAGCGGCCCCGTCGCCGCTCCCCGCCCCTAGCGGCCCCGTCGCTGCCCCTACCCGGCCCCGTCGCCGCCCCTAGCGAGCAGCCGAGCCACCCAGCAGCTGAGCCGCCGAGTCGCCCAGCAGCCGAGCCGCCCCTGGAGCAGCCGTCACTGCAGCAGCCGCCCCTGGAGCAGCCGCCACTGCAGCAGCCGCCCCTGGAGCAGCCGCCACTGCAGCAGCCGCCCCTGGAGCAGCCGCCACTGCAGCAGCCGCCCCTGGAGCAGCCGCCACTGCAGCAGCCGCCCCCGGAGCAGCCGCCACTGCAGCAGCCGCCCCTGGAGCAGCCGCCTCTGGAGCAGTCGCCCCTACAACTGCCGCCCCTGGAGCAGCCACCCCTGCAGCTGCCGCGGAGCTCTCGCTCTACAGTGGTAGCGGCCTCGCCGTTGCCGCCGTCGTACGCCTGCCCTTCTCGCCACTGGTGAGCACTGCCCTGCCCGTACTGCTGTTACTGCTGCTCTTACTGCTGCTGCTCTTTCTACTGCTACTGCTGCTCCTGGCGTGGCCAGATGCAGCTCCAGCGTCGCCCGCGTGAGTCCCTCACCCCCCAACAGCTTCGTGCGTGGTACGCTAGTTGGGGTTGTCGGGGTGGCCGTAGTGGGAGTCGTCCTGGAGTGAGTAGTTCCACAGCTGCTTGTAGTGGCCAGGTGCAGCTGCAGCGTCGCCCGCGTGAGTCCCTCACCCCCCAATAGCTTCGTGAGTGGTACGCTAGTTGGGGTTGTCGGGGTGGCCGTAGTGGGAGTCGTCCTGGAGTGAGTAGTTCGGCAGCTGCTTGTAGTGGCCAGGTGTAGCTTCAGCGTCGTCCGCGAGCGGTCCTTTCGCCCCAGCAGCTTCGTGAGTGGTACGCTCAGCGTGACGGGTCACGGGGTACTGCTCGCTGTCCGTACGTCATTCGCACTGGTGCTCGGACTGGTCAGCCTTGCGAGACGTTGGGTCACGCAGAGTCCCGCTGCTTCGCCCGTCTGAGCGACGCCTGGCGTACGGAGTTTGGCGACGCGGCTGAGCTCCCCGACTGGGTGGAGCTGCTTCGGCTGCGGGTAGATATCTATACTCTTGACTATGATGCTATCCTCACTGCCATGTATGCATTGCCTACTAGTGATGAGGGTGACTGTTACCTGTGTGTTCCGCCTGACCCGGGCATTGAGGCTGCTGCTCTAGGTGCTGGTGAGGCTGCTGCTCTAGGTGCTAGTGCGTCTGCTGCCCCAGGTGCTGGTGAGTCTGCTCTCTCAGGTACCACGTCGTCTCAGGCCTTACACACCTTCACTCTTGACTCGGGTGCTTCCCGCTCCTTCTTTCGAGACCGCACCACACTTACGCCGCTCAGTCGGCTGGTTGCGGTCTCCCTGGCGGACCCCTCTGGGGGTCCTGTCCTTGCTCGCTTCTCCACTGTCTTACCCTGTCCGGCAGCCCCCTCTGGCACCCTGTCCGGTCTCTACCTCCCCTCGTTCTCTACGAACTTGGTGAGTGGTGCTGATCTACAGGATCGGGGGGTTGACCAGTTCACTCCTGCGAGTCAGCGGGTGACCGACTGTACGTGTGCGCGGACGGGCCGCCACTTGGCCACGTTTACCCGTCGGCCGGGGTCGAGCCTGTACACCCTGACTACTGAGTCTCCTCCGGTTGCTGAGTCTGGTCAGGTAGCTGCGTCGAGTCAGGTGTTTGCTGCTGCGTCCAGGTCTGGTCCTGAGTCTGCTCCCTGCTCGTGTCGTCTCCTGTCTCACCAGACTCTCCTTTGGCACCACCGCCTTGGTCACCCCTCCCTGCCTCGTCTCTGAGGCATGGCCTCCCGTGTTCTTGTCTCTGGTCTCCCCCGGTCTCTCCCTCCCCTAACTCCGGGGCCTGCCCCTACCTGCGTCCCCTGCGTCGAGGGGCGACAACGCGCCGCCCCTCACTCCTCCGAGTTTCCTCCGACAGAGGCTCCGCTGCAGACTCTTCACATGGACGTGTGGAACCCCGCCCGCGTCCGTGGCCAGGGTCACGAGCGTTACTTCCTGTTGGTGGTTGACGACTACTCGCGTTACACCACGGTCTTCCCCTTGCGCAGCAAGGGTGACGTCACTGAGGTGTTGATCGACTGGATCCGCGCAGCTCGTCTCCAGCTCAGAGAGAGTTTCGGCTCGGACTTTCCTGTTCTGTGTCTGCAGTCTGACAGAGGCGGGGAGTTTTCCTCTGCCCGTCTGGGAGCCTTCTGTCGTGCACAGGGCATCCGCCAGACCTTCACGCTTCCGGCCTCTCCACAGCAAAATGGGATTGCTGAGCGCCGCATTGGCATGGTCATGGACGTCACTCGTACGTCCATGATCCATGCGGCTGCCCCCCATTTTCTGTGGCCGTTTGCGGTTCAGTACGCAGCGCATCAGCTCAACCTTCAGCCCCGGGTCTC